CCACCACCCGTCTGTCAGTTTGTCATATTGTGGTGGCTTGCATGTTGCTGTGATGCTGGAAGTTATACCACCGGTATTTCAAATACTAGCAGGGTCCCCCATGGTGACAGGTTTCAGTGGAGCTTCCAGACTAAGACAGACTGGGAAGAAGGGCCATCCCCTTCTGAAGAAAATGGCCGGTGTAAAGCTTGTGAATAGCAATGAAACACTGTCTGATATATTACTGGAAAACTTTATGAATAGCAGTGAAACATTGTCTGATACAGTGCCAGAACATAAGATTAGAGAGCACTCAAAATATGACAGGGGAAGACTCAAAGACTGTAGAAGTCTTTGAGAAGTCTGCCTGCTCAAAATTGACCTTAATAACGTGCATAGAGTAAAGCTTTTGGGGCCTTCATTTGCCAATGGGACATGACTCAAAATGGGAAGAAACAGCTGCAAACATTCATTAATAATTGGAACATGGAATGTACAAAGGATGAATCTAGGAAAATTGGAAGTTGTTGCAAATGAAATGGGAAAATTGGAAGTTGTTGCAAATGAAATGGCGTGGATAAAGAGCAATATCCTAGGCATTGGTGAGCTGAAATTGACAGGCATTGATTGTTTTGAATCAGACAATCATATAATCTACTATGCTGGGCATGGCAAATTGAAGAGGAATGGTGTCACATGCATTGTCAAAGCATTTCAAGATCTGTTCTGAAGTACATTGCTGTCATTGATAGGATAATATCCATGTGCTTACAAGGAAGACCAGTTAATACTACTACTATTCAAATTTACACACCAACCACTAAAGCCAAAGATGAAGAAATTGAAGATATTTTTAAAATCAACTTCTGCAGTCTGAGATGGACCAAACATATAATCAAAATGTATTGATAAATTACTGGTGATTGGAATGCAAAAGTGAAAAACAAAGAAGCACTGGTAGTTGGAAAATATACCCTTGGTGATAGAAATGAGGCCAGAGATGGCATGCTGGAACAAACAAATCTGTGTTGGAGGAAGTACAGCTGGAATACTCCTTAGAAGTGAGAATGGCCAGACTTCGTCTCTCATACTTTGGTCATGTTGTCAGAAGGTACCATTCCCTGGAGAAGGATACCATGAGTGGTAAAGTAGAGAGTCAGCAAAAAAGGGGAAAATCCTCAGTGAGATGTATTGACACACTGGCTGCAACAGTGGTCTCAAGCATAGCAGGGATGTGAGGATGGTGTAGGACTGGGCAGTGTTTTATTCTGCTATACTATGAGTTGGAGTAGACTCAATGGCACCTAACAACAATAACTATGTTCCTGTTTAAAAAGTTTCTGATTTTCCCCATCGCCTATGTGATCAGTTTGAAACTCCTTATCAAGGCATACAAGGTTCTTCAGATAAGATCACATTCTACCTTACCTGTCTCATCTTTCACTAGGCACACTATCCAACCAGCCAGAGTTTCACACTATTCCCTGGATACACCATACCCTTTTACACCTTTTCTTCTGCATTTGGGATGTCCACCTTCTCATCATTCCACTTACCCATTCAAGTTTCTTATGCTTATTCTTGCTCAGCCTTCCATGTCTCCCTCAGGTGCAGTTCTCCCTTTTCTGCATTCCCAAGCACATTGCACAGGCTTGTGTTATATTATGCACAAGCCACATTGTATTGTAATTATTTGTCTGTCTCTCTCACTAGACTGTAAGCTC